ATATATATACATATATATATGACTTACTGTAAACATCATTGAATGCAATTCGTCTCGCTTTTATAGATGTACTAGAACAAGCAACTGCACTACTAATGATGAGCATAATAATAATAATAATAATAGTGATAGTGATTCAGTTGCTGTCGAAATGCCACAGAAAAACTGAATCAGTTTCATTTTTTGATAAAATCAACGTCAAACAATTATGTCGTACCAAGTACAGACTGACTTTTCATATTCTGTGGTTGCACTGAGTAATGTTCGAAAACAAAAATCAACTGCAGTGTGTGAAACGAAACGAAACGGTGAAGCTTTTTGTACAAGATTGCTTTCGCAATCAGCGTTCAGAAAAATACATCAATCAATTATGTAATTATGTATTTTGCTTTCAGAAACTTTTTCAATCAAGAACAGATAAAGTATAAAGCAGAAAAATAAACTGAAAATTCATTAATTTCATCTATCACAAAATACAAAATTAACTAGTTGAAAAACTGAATGAAATAATCAATAACGGCAATGGCTTTCATAGCTGAAAAATCAAAACAACGATTACCATATAGAAAAATTAATATGGACGAGTCAAGAAAACATAGTCCCGAGGAGAGAAATTTTCTAAAGGTTTCATAGGATTATTCGAGAAGAAAGCAAATGATACATCAAGAGACAACAGTAGGACATAACAAAAAGGGATGATGTAAAACATTCAAAATGATCGATCAATGTCGATAATTAATCGTCAATTAATCGATAATCGATTCAATACAAGTGAAATCCCTTGTTGACTCAAAATAATATTAAGATAACGTACCGCTCCATAGTTGTTCATTGTGGCTGATGGATATGCGTTCTCTTCATACACTGCCGCATCCGTATACGTTGGCATGGTTTGTTGCGACTGAAAACGATTAATGTTCATCGATATTCCAGTTAAGCACTGATATAAAGGGAGTATCTTTAAAATACTTTCCTGTTGACCCAAAAAGCAGAAATACTTTCCTGCTGACTCAAGAAAACCTTTACAGATGCAAAACCTAAGAGATGTTCGAAACAACGATCATAATTATGAACATAGAGGTGTTAAAATAAACATGACATGACAACTGAACTATTATAGGTTCGAATTCAAGTTATTTTTGAAACTGATGTTCAATTTGAAAAAATTGACAATATGACATTTCGGAGTTTCTATACAAAAGCAACAATTCGAAGCATTACCATAACATATGTTGATGAGGGCTGGAAGGGTGCTACACCTGTGGTTTTGCTAAAATCGAATCCTTTTGATTGACCGATAATGTTCAACTGAGTGGTCTGCGATGACACTGTGCATGGTGGAAGTGGGGGATAATCTGAAAGCAACAACAAAACAGATATGATTACTCAGCTGTTTTCGATAAAATCAAATGAACTTACTTCAAACACTGATACTGCGGAAATAAATTTCAATTTTACTCAAAACTCATTTTAATTAGAGTTGAGTCGGTTACAACCGAATTTCGGTCACTTGCACCGAATTTCTGTCAGTGGCCCCGAAAATCGGTGATCACTGACAAAAACTGAACGCGACTGCTCGATCGATAGCCACCAAATTGCTCGCTGATCGATGACTACCGACTGATGAACACGTTCGCCTTCGTTGTAACCGCAGTACACTATATGTCATGCTTCAGCAGAGGTGATGCGAGGTCGGATGCAGACAAATCTGCGGGAACTGACGCTAGAGGGTAATTCTCAGCTAAAGAGATGCAGACGTTAATGTGCAAGTGTGGCATTTACCAAATAAATGCAAAGGACGGAATTTGGATTAGGTTAATCGTGAGTAATGTGTGAAATAGCTGTCTGCGTATGTTCTATTTCCTTGCTCGTCTATGCGGAGTCAACGTTAGATGTTTAGTTGGGAAATATAAAGGGGAAGGCTACGGAGACTTTTCTATAATCTCCGATTTCTCAAAAAATTGATCGTGATTTTGGTGCACTCGTTTCGAGCAAACTCAAAACTATCGAAAAGAATTGAGCAAACTCAAAACCAAACGTAACTGACTGGCCGCTGTTAAGTGAAGGTCAGATTTCGGTGTCACCCATCAAAACCGAATATTACTGGTCGGTCGGTGACTTTGGCAAACTGAACTTCAGTGACCACCGACCGATGCCCAAAATTTGCCCTGTCGGTGGTCACCGATAGGGTATCCATCGAAAAAAATCTTTCGATTCCCAATTTTAATTCCAACTGATAATTATATAAGAGGAACAGCAAGAAAGCAAATATCTGGCATGGTTCATAGTAACAATTCAATACGGTCATTTTTGTATAAAATGATAGCAAAAATAATGACGAAAATTTAGCGATATGAGAATAACTCTTATTCCATTACACTTAAAAATAAATTATTTATTTTGAGGCTTTCAGTCTAAAATATAATCTGCAAACTAAATTAATTTGATCAGAAATGAACGACAGCAGCAACGGCATTCAGTAAAGTTCCAATACCGCGTAGTCAAGCTTCAAAAATTTATCACTAACAGTTTCTTTGTGCCTAACACCTAATATCTGCGTTAATAAAGTGACCGAATGAACATCGTTTTGTAAGCAGGCTTAAAAGCTGAGCATTTGAAAAAATAGATTGCACAAGATTGTAATGCTAAATTTGAAATAAAATTTTGTAAACACAAACATGAAAAAGATTTCTCTTCACAAAACACTGTGAAATACTTCCTTTAAAGTTTATAATAATGAGAAGCGAATACTCCGAATTTTTACGTTAGAAAAAACATTTCAAAATGAGATGATAAAATAAATTTACATTGTGCATCATTATTTAGCGAATTGGTCGCATATGGTGGATGATGAGGAGACTGAAAGCGTTGATTCATGTTAGAGTCGCTCATGATCAAATTGAGATAGACTGCTAGCTGTTTGGTGGCGTCTTATAAATGCCAAGTAATGAACACCACAAACTGAATATATCACAGTGATACGATTACTATGCTGAAGTTTTATCTGAAACGCAAGCAGTGATCAGTGGACATGTATTCACATCCGCAGCAGTCTAACGAATGACATCGAACGGCTTGAATCAACATAAATCATAACTCAATCAATGTCATCAACAAATAATCATTAACGGCTCATTTAAATAATCAAAACTCCCAACGAAAAGCAGCACTTCCAGAAAGTTGAAATCGAGCGGAACACTTGACTTGCTCAATTTCACTCTGAGTGATATGCATTTTCAACATTTACACTTTTCGAAGGGTTTACATTCATTCAAACAAAATGATAACAAACATTTTATGAAATCATAACAGCAAAACCAAAAGTATCCCGGAAATCATTAGATGGAAAATAACGGAAGCTAGATGGTTAGGCAATGACCATTCCTTCGAAACATTCGCAGCAAAAGATGAAACAAGGAAAATAATTGGAAATAAACGTTGGCGGAGAATGACTGCAAGACAATCAACGAGATGACGAGGAACTGAAGTGAACGAATGAAACTGAGAAGTTTACGTGTTGTGAATTAATTTGTTACTGGAAGCAATGAACAGCTGCACGTTATGATAAAGTTATCATCATAATGATGAGCAATGCAACGCAGATCAGCAACACAAAAAATGAATCAACAGACAATACCATAACATCGAATGAATCTGCGTGGAATAATATTCTAGAAATCGGGTCTATTACATTCTTATCATAAACACACACGTATCAGTAAAAAACACACGCTGTCTTAAATCAACACACAAAATCAATAAGCACTCAAATCAGTATTTTGGAAGAAAACAAAAAGAAAATCACTCAAGCTGATCATAATCTCATCAAACAACGACAGATTTCTGCTGTGAGTCATTTATTTGCACTCACTGTTCGCACAGAGCTACAAGCAGAATTCACTGAAAGAGACAGACATGTCGTTGCGAGCAAGCAACTCTGCAACGATTCCATTCACAGAATTTCCATCATGAAATTTCTTTTCTGGTCTTCTTTACTCCACTTATATGTCATGAGAATGATCGGTGATTAGCACGAGAGGTATCAATCCTTGAATGATCAAAATCTACAATAGCACCTAACTCAGAGGGCGAAATATCTGCACAAACGGAATATGAAGCCATCTTCGGTTTTTCCATATAACAATCTCCTACGTTCCTCTTGATTAAAACAAGTCAAAGTATGACATATGATTTCATNCAAATTTCAAGAGAAAAATCCTTTATTACTAAGACCGACCCCAGCCCTACATTTTGACTAAAACATCAGGAATAATTCAAATTATCCTAATGAAAAAATTTATTTTTTAACTATCCTATTCCATTCCAACTTATGTAGCAACTTTTTACTGTTGCTATTTATAAAACAATATTTTATGATTACCCAACAACATTATGCGATTATTATGCACTCCGAATGAGCCAAAAAAAAGATCAATTACCCACTTACTTCATTCAGAGCAAGCAACATCGTCATTAACATGTAAGACACTCCTCTGGGAATTAATTTAGTATCATGTCGAAAAAGCAAAAAGAAACACAACCAAACAAACAGTTGATGAATTGATACGTTCATCATATTCATAAGCTGCGTCTACAAATACAACTGAGCAATGATTACATCGCATTCCCCAAAAAAGCATTCAACCACCAAAAACACAATCTAAACCGTATCTAACTCACACACTCACACCTACATCACTACAAATACTCTCACTTCTAACGAAAAGCACACACACACATCACAATTTCCCAGTCAAATGAATTATACATCAGAATGTGCACAAACGTACAACGAATGCTCTCAACTGAACTTGTGAAAACTTCATTTCATTCGTTACACATTCATAACTGATAAAAGCATAAGCACAACCAACTCACCGCTCGTCTTCCACTCAATCAGTTGATTACAATTAACCTACTATCAATCACTACTCAACAACTTGCAACCATCATTCATAATCGAGTGAATGCTAAATCGAATGCACATAAGAGAATGAATGCAATTCGCTCGCTATCATTCAATCACACGTTTGAATGCCAATAAAACTATCACTAGATATGTATAACAATGAACAAATTTTGACACTCACGAAGAGGATCAAGAAAAAATTCAATCGAAACCCTGTATAAATAGCAGGGCACTGATTTGGATCGCAGTTCATACAGATTGTACACGGCGGTTCTAACGCCAACGCTAAAATCATTTTGCTAATAGAAGTATGGACGACGGTTGAATAACGTCTCATATTCGATCGAAACGAAACAAAACAATTCGACAAATGTGCCGCGCCACTTTATTCTTGTAATTATGCATATAACAGCAAAGTTTCAATGAGTATCATTCGCTTTCGAAAATTTTAATTCATTCCTTTTCAGTACTACTATTATCCGCTTTTGAATGGTCAGAGATGGTACAAATTCAGATATTAAATTAACTAAATTAGATGTAAAATGTAAACGAAATTCCTTCAAAGAAACAAAATGATATAAGAAACTTCGTTGCCGATAACTTTTCAAACAACTCAACATACCCAAAACAACATCAACTAAAAATGTAACACAATCAAACGATTAATAACATCAAAATAATCGCTGATGAATGAAAAAACACGAACTTCAAATCCGTGTTGGTGCATCAATAAATAATAGTAATGAGTGTAGTCACATGAACATTACAGAAGGATTTGAAAATCGGAAATTATCGAAATATAACCATACGTATTATTCAACAAATTTATGACCAAATATTTAAATCGAATTTTTTAGTTTTCAAGACAGAATTTGAAATTCGATCAAAATAAGAGTAAATAAACCAGAAGTAGTTGTAGTGTTATTGCATTGATACGAAAACAATTTCACTTCCCTCTAAGCGGACGTGTTACTGGGAAAAACATGATAAGAATGGGGATAATAAGTTTTCATTACAAAAAAATCGGTTGCAGTGGCAAAAAGAAGGCGAAAATCAATAATTACTCTAGTGTATGTATGAAGGAGGTCCATTTCGCCATCCCACAACGGTGATGACTCAATGTAATAAAACACAATAATAAACGTCTTATCAGAACAATAACAATCGAAATAACAAATAATTTGAAAGGCAACAAAAGAGATCATGAATTCAAGTCAGTCAAACGAAGCAAAGAATGGCCAGTTATACAGTACCAGGCGTGAAGAATTCGTTGAGCAGATCTAGATCCTCTTCATTCAACCCAACTGCGTTATGTATGACTGCCGGTGAGACAATATCGATTGGCTTAGCGTAGCTTGATATTTGAGTGTGTAGTTGATTTTGAATTTTTGATGCCAAATTTGTTTCTAACTGACTCGGTGCAGGTTGATCGCTTAGTGTCGCTGGAGGCACTGAACTCAAACGATTCTTTTGCAGTAGCGCCAAATCGTTTATCATAGTACCAGTCTTACTCAGTTCATCCTGCAACCAAAACTTCTCATTCACAATAAACAAGACTCATCTAAAATCACCCACTGATATCAATTTATAGCATCTACCACAAAATCGCATAAAATATCACTTCGCTTTAAAAGAAACTCGAAGTGGCACACGGATATTTTATATATAAAAAGCATTTTTTTCAAAGTAAACTGAAATTCATTTGCAATTACCAACAAAAGAAAACATAAACAGTCTATCAGAAATGGAAAGAATGAAAGACTTGTCGATATTTTCAGGTGAATTATTAACACGAAAACAAGCTGATCAAGCAAACATTACTTGAGAAGTAGTGGATTCGGGTTTGACATTGTAAAGTTTCCGCATATCCGAAATGAATGAGATATCAATACCAATATTTTCAAGCGATTCAACCTCACACAATAACTTCTCTACGTCATCATTGGAGTCCAGTTCAGGAACCTTCAAATGAAAAAATTCCTTCCGTATGTCAAGCAAAAAAAAAACAACAAATCAATCACAAACATAATTCACAATATCGACTACACCGACTGGTAAAAGATGTTAAGTTCAGTGAAGCATCGGACTCAATTTAAGCAGTGAAAAGAATTTGTAAATAGGTATCCTGAAAGTAGCTCTAACTCACACAATGTACATAGCAAATGCGGGTCTATGTTATTAAAACCTATGATCACTGAATCACATAACTTACTTTAGCATCAGGCTCCGTTTGGAGTGCCTTGATTGTTTTCGAATGTTCACCATCAGTTAATGTATCCAACATATCATCAACTAATTTCATTAAGTGCTCACCACTATCTTCAACCATATTTCGTAAAGCAATTCCATTCATAACATTCTGTCTAGAACATTCAATGTGATTACTACATTAAATTAACACACCTCATTGATTATCATAAATGATAGACGTTCACTGATCCCTCTGAAGGCAATATGAAAAACAGATTAAAGTCAATCGTTAAGTGATTATGATGTTGAGTACGAAACTGGTGACGTTACCATAATTTTTTCCAGAGAGGGGGAATGGGCGCAAAGTGGTCTGGTACCAACGAATAGACGAATTTTGGACTGGATTTTTCAACGTCTATTTCTCTTCTTTTTTTTCATCCCCTCCTTCCATTCATTTCCTCTTTTCTTTCATCCTCCGAACGGTGGAGGGTACCCCCTGTGTCCTCTCCTGTCTAAGCCGCTGTACGGAATGTTGGATCAAATGGATAAATAACTTACTTATCACCGTAACATGACAACAACAATTTTGAATCGCGATCACATAACGTTGCCCACGTCGAGTCGTACTGTGGTGCAAACGAACTAAACGGCCCGTACGATAGGAAGGAGATTGGAACCTAAACAATGCAATGAACAATGTGAGTTTTCTATATTAAGACATCACTATTCTATCATCCGAACAGTATTTGGTGTGAAAGTGATGGAATTCAACGTTCAGCAAGCCGTGTTTCTGTGTGAATGGAGTAATCACACCTCACTGCTGAAGACGAATGTGATAAAACACAGAATAACAGCTACACTGTAGCTTGAATAATCAAAGTACGGAACAAATAAAGCATATCTTAACTAGAAGGTACCTGCGTAGAAGATTTATATTCTTGAGGAGCACAAAGACCGGGTGTGCCTTCATCAAGTTTACCAACGATATCACCCAAAGTCAGCGTTCTTTGCTCATTACTGTTGGTAGTGTTATTCTTGGTATTTGATGACGATGGATTGATAATGTTCAAGCAAACGGCACCATTATTGTTATCTAAGAAACCCAGCTGACATTTCGGCTCTTTACCATTTTCACAATCTGGTACCACTGGTCGTAATTGTGGTTTTCTGTTCGAGAGTCGCTGTTTCAACGAGATATCAACTGAACTCAGTATCGATGACGGCGTCATATCATCCAGAATTGAGTAGTTTCGTTCAACCTTCGGCAAAACTCTCGAACGAACTTTCGGCTTCAGACCCATTTTGTCTAAGGGTATATCCTGCATAAAGCAAAAGGTACGTTGCACGATTACATTTAATTGAGTTCACAATTGGAAACAATCTTTATATGAAACCAAAAATTTTCACAAAGTGTCCAAATGGACATTCATATCTAAACTAGTTCCCGGAAACGTTGACACAAAATCTGTATCACACGAAGTGCAGTGACGACAGTATTTGCTATATTCAATCTTAACCATCACTCTCCCATTCACGACATATCTAACAAGGCAATAGATTTCCAAATTTCACAAGTGAATTCCTCTGTTCTATCACGTTGACCAGAAAACTGTGATATGGGTAATGATGAAACTATTGTTCATAAATAAATTAATAAACGAAACAAAAAAATTAATAAACGACGACACTTTGTCGAAAGAAGTTTGATCGAGAGAGAATTTACAATAAATGAACGAAGGTTTAAAAAAAAAACTAATGAATGAGCAAAAAAAGAATAAACTGATAACGAACTTTACAAAACGGTAAAGTGTGATAGAGGTATCTGAGGTGAGGTTCCGAGAAATAGAAACGGACGATTTGATCGAGTTTTTGTGCTGCGACATTATAGATGGTGTTCGGTTGATTATAAGTCAACGCGTTATTCACCACCAATTCAACATCTCTTCTGAATGATGCCAAATCGTTATATTCATTTGTTTCGATTTTTGAACGCATTGTTGAGAAATCCATTGGTTCTTTGATCACTTGATGGTAATCTGGTGCCATCGATCTGAATATAACATTGCGTTCAAAAAAATTCCGCGACAATTCTCGCAACATTTATCCACGGAAAGCCTCCAGAAAAGGTCGTTAGCACCAAGAAAAAAACTTGCAGTGGGAAAGTAATCGATAATTGATACTAGATTCACAAACTAATCTCACTTTCAGTACTAAAAATGAATAAACATTGTTCATTAATACCAATTTTGAGCAAAAATTCATCCCGTTGATACTAATTAACGAACTGGTGCGTATACCTTATGAAACACCAAAATCAACTATGAGTTTCGTTATCAGTCCTACTGCAGGTCATTTAATTTAGGAGTGAACGAATGAAATAATCGATTACTGGGTGACAGGAAACGCAAAATACTCCTCTGGGTCTTTCGCATGTAGCTTGCGGAGTAAATTATCACATAGCAATTGCATTGGCGAATATGTTCTGATCATCGGCGGTTTCTGAACTGGAGGTGCATCTTCTGATGACTGCTTCTGCACTTCTTCTTCTTCGACCTGAATCAAATTTCAGTTGCAATGTGTGTGCTGAATCTCTACGTTGTGAATACTTACCTCTTGTTTCAATTCTTCACGCTCCTTTCTTTCAGCTGCTAACTGAGCTTTTCGTTCAGCTCTTCGTCGACTTTTAGCCGTTGAATCAGTTAATCTGAAATATCACAAGCACGTTTTTGTTGCTGTTTGAAAATGTGTAGCCCAAATGCGTTGACAATAAGCAAATTTAAAAATGAACACAAACTTATATGTCACTGCACTCACCGCACTGCATAACGTGTTTAAAGTGTCAGCAACGTTTTCGAGATAAAAACACAACAACTTTTAAAGCATTTCAAAAACGATACTCATAAATCGAAACTGCACCTGAAACGTCTCTTTTTTCGTGTTTTCCTCACTTTCTCTTCAACGTTAACCTTCACATCGTCTGTACTTTCCATTTCTTCATGATCTTCAGCGGCAGTTGAACGCTCTTCTGAGTCAGATTCTTCAGCATCCAGATTCTCTTCTGCTCGCCGCTTGCGACTAGCTAAAGCGGAGGACCTTGATGACACTGCTTTGAGTCCATCTGAAAAACCGCGACACATGAACACAGTATCATTATTATTACAACTGAACTTCAAAAGTCAAGCTTGGATAGCGGGTTGTTTACGTACCCTTTCAGCGACATTTCAAATCTTATCCTGGTTCGGCGCTCCAACGGTTCTTCTAAATAATACTCAACCTACTTTAGTACTTCAATGTATAGATAACGCATGAATTCATGAGTAGCTGTACGGTACTAATGATTTGGAAAAACCGTGCCTTCAAAATAGGAACTAACGTTTGGCACTTCGTTTTGCTGAAAAGACGGATAGACTCGGTGCCGCTCCGGCTGATAAACGCGCTGGTGGAGCACCAACATCAGATTTTCGTACGATGGGTCGAACCGCACTCATCTGAGCAAAAATAATCTCGCTAGTAGTTCTCGTAAAAATTAATGCACACCTTCAGTTGCCAGCGCCAAATTCCTTCTCAAAGCAAACAACCAATCAATCACCACAAAAAAAATTTTCATTTGAACCAATATCCATGAAACAACATTCTCCATTTGAGAAACTTCCACGCAGGGATATATTAAAACGCGATCAACGTAAGCGACCTTAATTGCGTTTGAGTGCGCACATCACAGATTATGGTCAATTATGGCAGCTTTGATAAACAAACTTCTACAGTGCTCCTGATGGATTGAATCAGATGCCCAGAAGAGTGTCAACGCGGCACGTGGAAAAGAGTCGAATTTCATAGACTGAAAAAATGTGTGGACTGCGACATCTGGAAAAGTGACCGGAAGAGTGTCTATATGGTATCTGCAAAAATGCCTACTGAAAATTGATAGAGGTTATCCACATAGTGCCTGAATTACCCCACTATCAATACTTTTCCAGTTAAGGGATTGTAAAAGTGTCTACACAACATTTTGCAAGTCGATCAGCAGATCATACACGACTCGACACTCTTCCAGTCTTTCAACTGGAAAACTATAAACAAATAATTGCGGCCATAATTGTGCTAGTTCGACTGCCTAGAGATAGCGCATGTTTCGCTAATCCGCTGATGTTCGCAAACCATTCCAATGCTCAAAAAATAAAGTTCCAATTCAAAAAAATTCACCCAAATCACACTAAACGATATTACAAAGCCGCCAAAGTATAAAGCGTAAACGCATCGCGTCAAGTCGCATTGCATTTCGGGTGTAGGTCAAACGGGACAATGGGCGTGCACCAAAGACAGAGAGAGAGAGAGAGCAAGACGCCTCAGTGCTTTGCACACCTCGAGAAACAGAAGGCAGCACACAACAGAAACAGAAGAAAGCTGCATCTTTCAATCGCAATTCGTGCGATTGAAACCCCGTCGAAGGGTTCGAGCGAATGAAGCACTATTTGAGCTATCAAATTAAACATTTTCAAATTCTATGAAATTTTTCTTTCCGAAACTGAAATATCCAGCAAATCTTACTATCAAAACTTATGGACACAAAAATTCCGGAAGATCTTTCTTTCGAAAACGTTCTTAATGATTCTTCCAACAATTTCTGATTTCAAATTTCCATGAAACCTTTCTTTTCGACTTTCCGAAACTAAAATATCCAAAAATCTTAGTTTCAAATTTTATGGGAACAACACTCTCGGAAAATCTTTCCTTAAGAAATTTTCCGGAGACTCCTGTATAAAATCCTACAAATCTGCAAAATTTCGAAAAATCCGATTTAAACAGTTTCTATAATCTCACTTCAGCGCGGTGATCTCTGAAAAAAAGTTTCGCACGATCTTTAAACTGTGAACGGTTTCTAACAAGGTTTCTCATGCGCTCCAAAAATTTTCCCATTGCGTATGATGTGTGACAAAATTTGGTGTGCACTATCTCAAATAGTTGCATCGTTCGATGATGCTTCAATTGCACCTATCTTCTCTCTCACCATCGCAAGCACATGCTCTCTTCTGTTTCGAGAGGTGTGCAAACCGCTGACGTGCATTGCTCTTTAAGCTGCTTTGGTACACACCCATTGTGTGGTTCAGATGAGGCTGCATCTCGAAGGTGAGAGCACAGCATTACCCGGATGAATAGAAAGCGCAAAACAACTCACAACTCGTTCGAATTGTCCAGTGATCGAGGAGCGAGTGATACAGTCCACAACACACTCCCGCGTACGTCAATACTGTGAAGCATACGTGAGTAAAATGCCTTCAAACGAATCGCACGGCACGCGGGTGGTCCCAATATTTTGGGAAGTGAGATTCAAGAGCACCACAATTACGCCTATCCAACTTATTATAAGTTGGTATGTGTTGCAATGCGTGCCCAATAAACAGATTAGCCGTTATAATTTTGTTCAGTTACAGAAGGGAGAGCGAAATGATCGAAATCCTCGGCCCTTTTAAAATTTAGCCCAGTCAGCATTCTTGATTCAGGTTCAGGCTTGAGCTTAAACTCACGCTAGGTAGTCTGAATTGATCCGAACGGTTTTTTCAGTTTGGCGTGGTCATCCTTTCGCCACGTCTTCGAGAGGATGGATCTACCGTTACACCTTACCAATAATGACATCAATAGGAATAAAGGAATCATTACACTTTGCCAGTAGTGCGACAGAACTAAAAGCGGAAATCGGGTCGTGAGGTATTAGATGAGCCATGTAGCATTTTGAAGGGCTCGTGGCGCTGACCGCGAATACGTATTTAAAATGTGATGAACGCCATGTGGAGTCGAGTTGTCGAACGAAACCTGACCCATTCCGATGTCGTCACCTTCAAAATTATCTGTGACATCGACGTACTGACAGTGAGTAGATCCAGTGGATAAGGCGTTGAATTGTCAAAGTAAACGTGAGAGTTCAGTTACCGCACAGACGTCTTTGATGCAAATTCCGCTACATACGCAATTTTTTGATGCAATTAAAAACAGTTCCTCCAGTATAGCATAATCAGTTCAACAAATTTTTTAGATCGACTTTTCTTCCAGATTTTCAAACACTTAATTCGCATGATTAATTGATGTATACCAATGCTTGACATCAGTTTTTTAGCATATAAAATTATTCTGAAGTACTCGCTGCAAAATCGTTTACATATCTGAAAACCACTTGGGTTCGCTATTCATGATTCGCATTTGGATAACTCCCACTATTTGTTTAACAATGTTTTTGTTGAGATGTTAACCAAGGATTGTGAATGTGGTGATTTTGATCGTTTTTTTTCTTCGTTAGACATTATTATTGAAATTTCTGTCTCTGCTTTGATTACTCATTGTTACCCAACATATGCATTACGATTCAAAAAATTTCGTTTCAAATGATTCAAAATTTTCTGATCCACAACAAAAAGTGATAAATTTCATCATATCTTGAAGGAAATCAGCAGAAATGAGACGACTGTATCAGCTATCAACATCAAAAATGCGTTCACCGCAGTGGAACCTCTGACCATCATCACTTCACTGGACTAATACCTTATCCCTGCGCCACTCAGCATGACTGATCTGCTCAATATATAAGGATAATAACCGGCTCATTCGAACTGATCAAATTGTCGTGTTCAGTCGACCCCGACTGTACGTCCTTGAAGCAGACATGGATGTCATTTAGTTCCTTATGAGCTTAGGCATTAGCACAAGCCTAGGATTGGGCATAAGAATGAGACGAAATTGATTAAAGAGGATAAGGCCACCATACACCCACGCGAATTTTACAGGTGATGCAGAAGTTGCATGTGTTAAAATGCGCTAAAGCAGTTTTGAGTTGCAGTCGAATTTGCAAAGTGCAAAATTCGGTTCTATCCATGCATTCAATAAAATATGTGTGCGCCATTTGATGGGATGTCTGTACCAAGGTTTCATTTACTGTAGTTTTTGTCCTATTACCGATACGAGTATAATCACAAGCAACGTGCAAATTCTAACGTTTGCAAATTTTGTATTTTATGCAGTTCTGAAGAATTCATTCGTTGGCATGGTTTGGGGGAGGTGAGCAGGTTTCAGGCGGAGGGGTCTTTTTCTCTTATTTTTCTTCTTGTTATTTCTTCGAAAATAGGTTACAAGATTTGATTGATGTTCTGCATTTTTGACAGACATATAAGCTAGGCATTCATTTTTTGCTTGCATCTGTGCATTTTAATGCAAAATCTTAATTTTTGATCCATTGATTAATTGAGCACTTACATAACCGCTTGAAATTGTTTTTTTTTTTTGTAAAACTAACTACCTGGATTACCTGAATTGGTCAGGCTATCAAACGTTTATAACGTTGCTGGCCACAATGCGTTTCCACTCAGTCCTTGATCTTGCCTTCGTTTGCCAGGTGTTACCCAGTTTCTTTGTAATATCGTCTTTCCATCTATTTGGAGGTCTCCCGAGCGGTCTCTTTATTTCTCTTGGATACCACTTTGCAACTGCTCTAGTCCATCTGCCATCATTTATTCTTGTTACGTAGCTCTCTTCTTGTACTCTGGGATCATGTCTCTTACTCCAATTCTTCGGCGAACCTCCTCGCATCGGATGTGTTCCCGTAACGATATTCTTAACATGCATCTCTCTTTGTGTTGTTATTAGGCGTTGTTCTTCCCTCTTTTTTTGTGGCCCTCACTCGCGTACAGTAACGATGGTAAAACGGTGCTGTCAAAGAGGAGAGCGTGGAGGGATTTGCCTATTTTCTCTTGCCTAATAATGTTCGGTTTCGAGACTTGCCTACAATCAGATTTGCTGCTGAAGGAAAAAGAGCTATACAACTATCAGCTATGCAGCTCCATGATAGTGTGGCCACAATTAATGGTTTGTATTTGGCAGCCATGTTGGCTAATGTTAATCCAATAAGTATTAGAGCCAGAAATGATCAAGAGCCACAAGTAAAACTGCCTTATTACCATAATTTCAAGATGAACTTTACAGATCGTGTTAAGCTTGTGTAAGCTGCAAACTAACAGTCGGCTTATTAAAATTCGTAGTTTCTTACATCAGGTCATCTCAACATTATATCGTTTTGCATATTAAGGATTAACTTTTTGGTTAGTCAATTAAAAATTGCATCAATCAAATCATAGATTGTTACATTAATAATACACTGATTTAGTTTACGTAATAGTTTGATTTCACTATCAAGCACGTACACTTTGCACAACATTCTGCTGAGCATAGGTGCGATTTTAAGAAATTCATTTCGAACGAAGATCATTGAAAGTTGAACGATTTCGCTTTGAACATTCATCATCGTTGTTTGTTTGCTTTGTGGTTGTTGTCTGCAATCAATATTAAGTGATGGATAGTTGCAGATAGAGAGATATTTTTTTTGCAATTACTATTGTGTGTACTGGAGGATATGAGCAGATATTACTTTTGAATGTTGAACTTTTATTTGTCGAGTATTGGTATCGTTCTTATTCCTTGTTCGGTTGTTCATAAACAAATGAGCAATTCAGAAAACAACGATTCATATGGGCATATCATTTATGACGTGAATGTTATTAACGATTAATAGCTGCAGTATGTGTAATTATATACACATGTGTGCATGCTTGATCGGAACATGCTTATATTAATGCAGAATTGATAGTTAAGAAGTTGGAAAGCGATGTTCGCTGTTAATTGTAATGTGCTGTGTTCAGTGAGAACGTATTGATTTTTAATGTGACCAATCGTTGTTGTTGTTGAAATGCAAATGTTGATGACGCATTAGGAGAGCAGCGAGTGTGGAATTGATCACTGAGATTTGCCTGGGCACACCAAGACTTGGCGAGCAGCACCAAGATTTGTTGAGCCAGGCGAAAAGTTACCGGGTCGGGCCAAGGTTTGCCAGGCCTACAATTTAGCAGGTGTTCACCGAGCAGGTCTTGGTTCCGCCCGACAAATCATGGTCAGACTCCATGGCCTGGGACCTGAAATTCCACAGTCCCATCATTTTATAGTGATATTTTAAGTAATGTTATCGCTTAGTTATTATGCACAGTTAATCATTCATTATCATTGCCATTGTTTTTATTTAGGGTGAATTACTGGCTGATTGCAAACATCATTAGTGGTGAGTGTTTTTGTGTTGGTATTTGGCGTACTTTTAAAATATTTGGATAACATGTGGGATAGCGCTTAATTTCGTTGGGATTAGAAAGAGCGAAAGGTTCTTCTTCTTACAGAATTGTCAAAATGAAACGAAGCAGTTCGGTCAGCAGCTTAAATCATCAAATATCGAATACATTGAGCAGTTCACCTCCGCTGTAAGTTTTCATTTCGCATCTTTTCTTTGAAATAAGTACAACTATTCCTCCGAATCCTCTGCCATAAATTGCAAATGACCACGTCAACACGGCTAAATTTTTGAGTTGTTTTTGTTGACGTTAGTGCTGTTAAGTTGTGCTATCTATTATCTCAGTTTTTTAATTTACTCAAAATATCTGTTCCACTCTCTCGAAAAGAGCATTTCTCAGTAAGCCTCCGTTTCTAAGGCAAAAAATGATTTAGTTGGTTGCTGCTTAGGTGAGTTTACATTCGAGTTTGTACTCAGATGTCAGTTTGTCAACGTCATATTCTGAGAATGACTAGTGGAGGAATTGTAACTGAAGTGATTCATTCAGTAGATGGTTTTCAAGCTTAAACTTGCAGAGAACGTCACTGCTCGGAGGAACTATCGCCGACAACTAGACGAAGTGCTCAACCTCAAACGCGATCCTTAGATTCGTTGCGCCAAGCTTTTTTAGATGAGCATGAATCGGCGTATTCTTGCTATCCTTGTAATTCCGAGTCGTCCTCATCCTCATCGGGTAAATAATATTAATTCTGACTTTTTATTCCGCTTATCTTCATAATTATAATGAGCGATTGATTTGATCACTGAAGTGCTATTTTATTAATTACGTTTTATTCATGACATTCTTGAGATGATCAGTGATTGACTGTTTGCAGAAAGGATAATATTTTTTACACAAAATTGATGAACTGAGTTATTTATCATAATTTTTATAACGTTTCTTTCGTATATTTCTACATTTTCTCTCATTTCAAAATGCATTGATAAGAGCAACGTGTGCATTGTAGATTTATTCGTTTACTCCATTCAGCATGCAAGTATATTTGAGTTTTTATGTTGATGGAGCGGTTGAACTGAAAGTTGGATTTAGTATTTGTGATAATGGATGGGTTTCATTTGATAGTGTTGGGATTCGATCAAGAATCTTTGGATCGTCATCATGCTAGCTTCACAACAGATGGAAGAGAAAGCTTGGAATGGCATCCAGAAAGAGGTGACGATGAGCTTAGGCCGCGTCTAGAAATGCTTAAGGAACCGTATGAAGAAAAGCAGAATGGCCATCATATTATAGACTTTCCTTTAGAAATTCCTCAGACACCTTCTCAAGTAATTGTTTGTTGATTTGATTGCCATCTTGTCGTTTCATAAAATTGTTTGTGCAGTTTCACTTTGAATTGCCAACAGAATCTACACCCGTTCCATTTAAGAACTGCTTTTAATTGTCTGAGAGAGATCTAGACTCAGTTTGACATTTATGAAGTACTCAAACATTGCATTTTGTGAGAAGTTGGAAAGTGAACTCATTGATTTAGTAATCTCATTAGTGAATCGACATTTTAAAAGTTTATCAACAATAGTTTCCTGGAGCACTTGAGATAGCATCATCATTTCAGAGTTATTTATTTTTTTCACTTCAGTTCATACAAATGTTTCTTCTAATGATCAGTTTTTAAGTTGGTTAAAAAAGTCAAAAATTTCATTTAGACACCGGCTGTGACAAAAAGACCGGCAAGTGCCGATATGGCGACGAGACATCGCGCTCAAAAAGCTTTCATCAGTTCAAACGTAGATTATATATTCGATGATGAGTTCGTTGTTTCTTGTTCAAATTTTCTTGTATGTTTTATAGAAATATCACATAGATCTAAACTCAAGGTACTAACTGTTTTAGCTTAATGCCCCCGTTAATAGTTGGTAGTGGAGAAGTGTTTGGTGATACACCGGTTCAGAAGCTGTCTTACAGTGACACTTTCAAGGGTGAACCACACAATGTGCTGAGATCACAATTAATGGATACTGCGAATTCGTCAGCGGTAAGGATTTATTGACCATTTAGTTGTTGTTTTTGCATCGAAAAAGATTGAACAACGAATAGACAAATGTAAACGTTCATCTAAAATTTTAAGGAAAAAAGAACAGATACTGAACGAAGATGTGATTTGCACCAGAGAATGAATGCTCAAGACAACGATCCTCGATCAGTTGTTCAGATGAAAAATGACGAGGAGAATGTCATGGAGGTGCAAGATAGTAATAATATGGAACTAGATGATTTCGAGTTGCCGATTACATGTGAGAAGGGTGCCGCTCATCGTCGCTTCTTAAGCGATGACCAGCAAGCATCGAGACGAAGCGTTCAGTCAGCATTCAAAAAACAACTGGATGAGCAACTGAAGAGAGAATTGGTAAACAAATAAGTATTTTCATTCAGCGATACAGTTTTCGTCTTCATAAGTAATCTGTCACTTTAATGTCAATGTGGTGCTGAAACTTGATATGAGAATTGGTAAATAATTGAAATTTCGAAGGAATCGCGAGAAGGAGATGTTGCAATAAGACAAAGACAGTTGCCGAGCATGTCGTTAAGATGCCAAAGTCAACTTATTCTGGATAGGAATGATGGATCATTGGAACCAGCGCCGAGTAAGGTATGGGAAGGTTTGGCGTCACTTCAGCCCATCCATGCCAACTTATCGGCATCTACGCCGTCGTTTTGTGATGAAAATCAGCCAGACCAGCAGTTTGTTCTTCGACGTAATGGTTAGTTGAAGTTAAATTCTCCATTAAATTTGAATTTTGTTTTTGTATTGAAGTCATTTAATCGCTTAATGAGCGGTCATGAGTTGCGTTGTAATCAACGAGCCTTAGTGCATCAACGAGATGGGTAACGATTCAAGTTTAAGTTGAATATTCACCGAAATGTTCTTCAAAAGTTGAATGCTGAAGTAAACTGAAATTGAACTGTTTGTTGTGTAATTAAAAATTTACATCAATAGTGTGCAGAAATGCTTATTCGGTAATGTTTGGAGGAGTGCTTATCCGATAAAGAAAAAAATGTGATTTTAAGATGAGGCAAGTACACACTCGCGTTTAGAAGCACCATCCAAAATGAGTGTTGAAAATAAAGGTACTGCAGTGCTCACCGATCAGTCATCTATTGAGCGTAATTGGGCTGAGCTAATGCCAGCGACGTTTGGTGCTCATCAGGTATTTGTTTTATTTATTGTCGTTATTTTTACCGATTTATTATTCACATTGTTTTGATTATGCGTCTCGTTTGCCTTTTGGTTTTGCCCTCTTTATTAAATTACACCGTCCGCCTTATTGATTCAAGTAGTCAAATCACGTTTTAAGAAATCCCCTCCGATAAGGGTGAGGTAATTTTTTTCAGTACCAGTGGAGAGACACAAAGAAATCTTGAGAGCGCATATAAGAGTTCGTTTTGATCAAAAAGAATTTGTTTTGAAGTTCTTTTCAATGCAGTTCTTAATATCTTTCGATATCAAACGGTTTTCTAGATCATTTATTTGTGAATGTTGGATTAGTGAGTGATTAATTCTATTAAATTTTGCATATTTTTGTTCATTTTTTGATTAACTTGATATCAGTTGTTCACTATCTGTCTACTTATTGTGGATAGGATGTTAGAATGATGATTCGATTGGTAATACTCATTGAACTTGTTGAGAAACCCCAATTGACGATTGATGAATCTGTTCAAACATAAATTCATTTCATCGACTGGTTTATTAGACAAAGGATATGATTGATTGAAAAAAAGCCTATTTATTTGCTTGATAAATTTAATTACTGCATTCTCATTAAATGATAATTCATTTGACAGCATCGTTAAATTGCTTTGAACGGTGCGTTGATTTTTCAAAACTAATTGATAGTTTATGTGTAACAGTTTTATAATTGAAATATTTTATTTGTGATGTGTATGGTATTGGCGTGGTTGTGATTGCATCCTTTTCAATATTTGTTTTTGGTTGATCCATTTTTAGAATGATTTTTTATCACATCTTCCTCTACCGACTTGATTCGGCATCGTCATCGGATAATACTTTGAAACGAGTTATCAGTTTCTAGCAGTATCTAATATAAGTTGTTCAGTTTTTTAGGATCTTGCGCGTTTTTGGTCTCAACTTGTAAGCAGTTTTGTATTATCTTCTCTTAACATAACACTAGCATTATTGTTGTTGCATCTATCTTCTGTTCTCTTTATCTCTTTATTATCAACTACTGATTGCAAGTTCTCTTTTAATAATTTCATCTTTCCTCTAATTCGTCCAAATTATTCTCCCGTTCTTCATTGAAACGAATAATGCTCAAGAACAGAGAGAAGAATAATGCTTGCTTTGACTACGAACAGCTGTTATTCATTCCAAATCCGGGCTGTTATCATTGCATTTTTGTGCTCACGTCGACTTTTTCATTGTCATTATAGCTATCGCTCGTATCAGTGAGTTTTTACTTGGATTTGTTCTTCTTTCTAATTCGTTCATTTTCATATTCTGCGTTGCTCACCATACGCTCTTTCTCTTTTAGTTTCTGTTTTCTTTTAGATAACGAACCTTCTTCTCAACTCACGACCAGATACTTTCTGAAATCATCCATCTTGACTTAGGGCTGATTTCATTGATTATTGCGTCTTTTGCATGATTGTGGCCTTCAGATTCATCATTTATGTTATAATTACCATCGTTATTTGTATTATTCAGGACGGTTGTTTTATTACTATTGATATTATCACTGTTATTATTATTACATATTGTTGTTGTTGTGAAGTTCATTTATTTCTCCCTCAATTTTCACCTCATCTCGCTATTTTCAATGTTTGATTTCGTATTTACCGAATGTTGTTTTGCAAAGTTTTGCATTGAAGGTGATCGGACCAGTGCAACGTCCAACACGATTGGGACACAACTTGAGTGCAGTTGGTGATTCGAGTGCAAAGTAATGATTATTTCATTTTCAATAAAATCATCATCTGATAATTACATTATTGAGAGGGAAAAGTTTTGATATCAAATGAAACGTTGTAGGATGAGGTATCATCGTTAGTGTCATGTATTAGTATTTGTTATTTCTGATATCGTAGCAGCGCGATTTTCAGCTGAAGAACTTGACATCTATCAGTGCATATCAAAAACATGAATTGATACTAATTATCAGACGTTGTAGGTATTAAACTGTCAGCATAGAGCGTTATTAATACACACACATTTGCCTGCTTAACCAACCATTTGCATGCCATAACTAATACAACCTTCTTGAAACTATCAACCTAATACAAATATTCTTGTGTCATTGAATCACATTCTCCTTCGTTGGTTATGCTTCGTATCCCCAACAGAAGTAATGTCATTTAATGTTGCTATTTTTTGATGATCCAATACAAATCAGTTATTCGCTTCTTAAAATTTAATTTACATCTGCTTCCGTTAATTTCATCCCTCCACGAGTTTTGTTTTTGTTTGCTTATGGAATGCAACTTTTCGATTCATTTTCATGTTTATGATTTTAGCTATTTACTGCCTTTGTATTACAGTTGGTGATCACTGATCGTTGAGCTTAATGAAAAAATATATTTTGGATGAACTTATAAATAGGAAGAAATTGGTTTTGTATGGGAGGGAATATGCACCAGTGGTCAGCGTGAACAGGTGCCAGCTGGCTTACTGCTTCGTTTTACACCATTCGTGCATGTACACTTCCACCCTGTGTGTTGCATAACAGATAAGTAGCCTGTAGCTGTCATACTCGACTGAGTGTCAAATACATTACATAATGTGATTAAGAAGCATCTTCATAGTGATACATGAAAGATAATACGAATAGTGATTTTATATCCTCTGAACAAAATGATTTGACAAGCGTTTACAGGTTAGTTGATAAGAGAAGAGTGGATAGCAAACAGGTGAGACGCACGAGTGGTTTACTGGATCTCTTTCCAAGCTATCGCAAAAAGGTTAGTTTCTAACGTATTATCTGATGTTTGAAATAAGTACTGTCTGGGCAATTATTACAGTTGGTTTGATCTTATTTTATCCTTTGGTTGCCCTGAATCGAAACAGGAGAAGTGTGAGTGAGAGGAAAATAAATTCGATGTTTTGTACACCGAAGATTAATATTGTTCGATTAATTTGCATGCGCATTTAGTTAAGAATTTATTTGTTCAATGATTGATTGATAACGATTTCAGAAGAATGATGTGCATTCATCTCTGATTGGTGGTAAACATGGAGTGGATGTTAGTTTTTATTATTCGATTGATCTTTATTGTCATCTATAAAGTGATTGCTCTTTAGTGACATTTATGAGATATGAAGTGACAATTTGTAGCGTCGATCTACAGTTGATGGTGAAGACGTCGCAACAAAGGGTCTTCCAGATGCTCTGGTTAAAGCGCTTCAAGATCGTCCGAACACAATCGGCGGATCCGTTGGTCGTCGTGTAGCAACCGAAGTGCAAGGAATGACAACAGAATTTCGTCCTGATCTGTTCGTTCTGTTCTGTTTTGTTTGTGCATCAATTCAGTGAACATGCCTTCGATTTAAATTTATTGCATCGAATTTTATTATGACTAATGTTATCTAATATGGCTGCGGCATTTCAAATGTTTGATATGCTGTTGAATTATTTCGAGTTGAAATTGATCCTTCTAATGAAGTGCATTCATTACAGTAATAAAAAGAAATGGGCTGATCTGCAGTTATGGAGTATTGAACCTGCTTCATGGTCCGATTTTCACACTGAACTTGCAGTGAATAAACGTGAGAGAAAAAAGCAGAATGTAATTTTTGGTAGGTCATTTGATGCAAATTGCGATTTGGGTATCTTTTGAAAGACAGAGTTCAACTTGAGATACTTCTATGCAGTGGCTGCAATTCAGTCGTCGATCCTTTCTTTCCTTTGTTTGGTTCGATTCGATAGGTTGCTGAAATTCTCTAGCACTTTGTTTTGAAGTAATTAATAGAAATGATCTGGTTTGGAGATTGGAACATGAATCATTGTTTTCGATTGCTTGTTACTAACTGATTGCGTTTTCAGAACTTTATCTCACTGAAAAGCACTATTGTCAAGTGCTCATTATTCTTCAACAGGTATGTCCATATGATATTTCTATGTTTTTCTGAACTATTGATAGGCTAAGTGTGAAGCATTTTGTAAAAGCAAATGAGAAACGCGTCCTTCGTCTAGAGCAGGGATCCCCATCGGAGGAAAATTACCCATTTTTGGGTGATTTGGGGGTTTCAGGAGGTGATGGAGAAAAGGAGATCGGGAAATTAGTTTTGGCTTTATGCGTGGAAATAATAGATTATTATAGCGAGAAGGGGGGAGGGGAAGGGGAGGGTAATGACGACTTGCCAGACCATCGAAGGAGTATCCGAGCATGGGAACCACTGTGATAGAAGATAGAAGGGTACTTGTACTCGTAGATCTATTCCAAAAAGATTGATTAATCATTTAACTGGATTCATACTCATATTCATTACTTTTACTGCTCTGTTCCGAAGAAATATGTTGACATATGAATGATGTTTGAGGTATATCAAGAAGGATTACGCATTAAGAATTTGCTTTCAAGTGAACAAAGGGCAGAGTTGATTCCACCTGTGCTCGATGCACTGCTTGATTTCCATTTGAATCTCTTACGTTTGCTATGCGCAAAAAGATCTGAGAAACCCGTAGTGGATACAATTTCAACCATCATTTACACGGAAGTGAGTCAAGTTTCTTACGTTTGCTTTAGATCGTCAAAAGGTCACGTTTTTCTTATTCAATCAATAAATTCGGATTTGAATCCTGAATATTGCCAAATAATTGCTTGTTCAGTTTTTCCTATTCATCAATCTTTTTTTTCGAATTTGCATTATTATTCTCAAAATGGTGTATTGTCTCGCTAAGTGCATTCGAAATAGTTTAATGTGTCATCGCTTTCTGTGGATGTACCGCAAAGCGAGCATTCTACTGAATTGTCTTGTTTATTTGACAGTTGTTTCAGTTGCGGAGACTTTCTTCAATCAAGTGATGGTATAACTAATAAGTCAAATTTTTTAGTTCGAAAAAACAGAACGTTGTAAAGCGGCCGTGTTACATGCATACGTTGAATTCCTTTCCAAAAAAACTCAGTGCGAGAAGTTGTATGAAGAATGGTGCGCAAAGGATTCAGATCTGCGCAAATTTTTCGATGTTAGTCGTTCACCGTATAGATTTTGTTGACTTTTTGCTTTGCTTTTGTCTTTTGATGAGTATTTTGAGTGAAGTGAATGAGTATGTGAATTTCGTTTACTTATTCACTGTATCATGAAAAAGGAAATTTGTTTATTTAATGTTTTGTTGGCTGTTGCAGAAGTATGAAAATGATCCGAAGTTCAAGGATCGCACATTCAAAATGTGCTTATTACTGGTTGCGCAAAGAGTGACTAAGTATCCCGTTCTCCTCAGCCAGGTATATCTCATCATCACTCATACAGCTAATGCGTTCACTCATTGAAATTTGAGCAGCGCAACTGCAGCGATTGATTATTATATGCGATCAAAGTCATTCGTGCATTATTCCGTCGCCGTTCACATTTATCATAAAATTTTTTCCTGGAGGCAGTGTCAATGAAAACATTTTGAAGCACTTTTCGAGCTAAACCAATCATTTCTGAATGCGCAAAAAGTTATTGGTAGCAAAGTTATTGATTTTATCGCGATTGACTTATTGAAAGTAAGAATAAAATTGTGATTGAAAGGGAGCTTTTTGAATAGGATTGGAAACGTATTACTGTCTTTGAACTGAGTGTAGGATTGCGAGAGATTTCTATTTTTAAGGTGAGAATTTTGATATCTACTCAAAAAGTCGAGAGGATGACTGCTTGTGATAATGAAAATAAAGAGATTCGTTTTTTAAGATTATAAGCTGAGATAGATATGTGCGCATGTCTTTCGTGTGTATTATTTTAAAAGACTATGGTCATTTATCATTCGATACAATAAAAGAATATTCCATTGCAATATCTCATCTGCCTATTGTTCAGCTTTTAAAACTCGAAAGCGAACAGTATAAGGAGGAAACTTTTCGTGCTGTCGAAGCCACTAAAACAGTTGTGTATCGTATCAACAAAGAATTAGAAGAGTTGGAATTGAATAAACAATGGGATGCAATCCGATCTCGCATCGATCGATCATCGTTGGGAAAGATCACACAAGACAAATTTTTAACAGTTAATTGTTGAAGCTGTCTGTTTGTTTTTAACCTTCAATTCCTCGGATTTCATAAGGTTCCTCAAAGGGAATATTTTGATAATAATTGACCGATTAAAAACCAGGAATCAGAACGAAATTTTAGTATGATGAACTAGCAGAAACAGGAGGTGTTGGTCAACGACGCATTTTGAATATCGCAAAAGCGCGTTATTCTAATACAACGAAAAAATCGGATGAAGGTATCGGTTAGTGGTTCAGTGAAATATGTTTTTTTTTGTTTTATTTGATACCAGTATCATCGTGTTCTTCTCTTATATGTTGCAACTGTTTTGAAATCCATCTGGCTGTTTGGGAATATTCTTTACTATAGTATTTGATATTCCATTTGATGCTGCAGCTCATTCGATTTCATCGGCTGAATGAGATGTGAGGAAAAAGTTGATTCATTCATTTGATGAAGTTTTAAATAATGGCTCTATTTCAACTCGAGTGTAATTCATTTGCAGATGTAGTTCTGTTGTTGTTCTCTGATTACTTGATATTACTGTCAGCGCCGGTCAGCGGTAAGAATAAGTATGTATTCTGTGATTGCGGATCAGCAGGAGTAAGAATTTTTTCCTTTTTTGTTTTGTTGATTACATCGTTTTTGTTTGCGAGTAAAAAACTTTCCATGGGTTCGGAAAACTCTTGCTGACATATTTAGTTGCATCGATCTTCGTTTACGAAATTTCATCTCCACGTATCATTAATCAATAAGTAAACACGAATTGTCATTTAAATTGAATCTCATTTCACATCTCTAACTAACTTGTTATCAGCTGAATTGGATTTTATTTGAATTCAAATAGATATTATAAGTAGAAATAGGATAATGAATTTAGTGCCCCGTAATCGCGCTGAACACGTTGATTCTTCGTGATATACCACGCAAAACGTCTGTTTTTGTGGTTATGGATCAGAAGCCATGTTTCGATCTGTTCGTTCTCTCGTTTGCCACAAAGAATGATCTCGAGCAGTGGAAGTATGCTATTGAAGCTGCTAAAGGATCTCAGCCTTTGCGTTCACTCGAAGGTATTATCCATTGTTCAATCATCACATTTGCAATTGATGCACGAGAGTGATTTTTGGAAGACATTTTAAATTGAGTTAATGTCGATTACATAAGACAAAAGTTTCAGATGGCAGCAGAAAAGAAGAGTCAAGAGCAGCGCAAGATGAGAGTTTTGTTTTGGAAACGAATCCCGAAGACGTGCAGTATAATGCAGAGATGGATAAATGGGAAGAAGAAGTGAGAAAACATTTCGGTTGGTGTCAGTTATTTGTTATTCATTTTATCGATAAGATCTTATTGCTCATCTGATCTGATCCCGTAATACTGAAATAACTCCTGTTATTTACCATTTCATTTCTGCCGTTCCCAATTCATTGTGCAGTCAACAAATTTGGGAGTCAGCTGGTGGAAGAAATGAATTACCATTGAATCTTCACCATTACTTTGACTGCTTCAACTTTTTTGCATCAGCTTATTTTTTGTTATTTATTTGAATGCTGTACTGGTTATTTCTGCTTCAGAACTTCGTAACAAAGAAGAAAAGGACGCGGCCAGTTATCTGTGGAAAAGAAGAGAATGGTTCGTCGAGCTACGTAATCTTGTCGAAAGAATACCAGTCAAATCTGACACTGACGAAGAAAAGAAAAAGGAGGTTGTGGAAAAGGTAACGAACACACTTATGAACAATCGCAAATGCAATAATGCGCCCTTATTATTAATCTAACAATTTATGAAAGTAATACTCATTCAGCATAGTAGATGCGTCTTTGTAATGTTCATTGATAAGCGCATTGTTTATTCGTTCATAATTGCAAATCTGTTAGAAAATTTATTTTGTATGAATTAACGGATTATTTAGTGATGCTTATTTTTTAGTAGTGTTGTAATCATTATCTACTGAACTAGTCAGCACTCATTCATTACGAGCTTGAATTTCTCTTCGATATCCTCAAGTGTCACTTTTAAAATCATTCTTTTATGTTTTTCGTTTTGTATTGCCCTATATATTTTTCAGTTCGCAAAATCATCAGTGTCTGTGAATCTTAAAATCAAGTATTCCTTTAGTGATTGACACAGAGGTAATTATCATGAATGCTATTGTTAGTGTTATCGCCACTTCAAATTGCAGGTGAAAAGGGATATTTGGGAAAGGTTCAAACAATCGCGCAAATCAAGACGTCTTTCGATGGGTATGAATATGTTTTCAAAAGTTTATTCTGCTTTTCTAGTCACAGTTCATTTGCATAGGGTTCCTTTCTAAACAGCTGTTGTTGCTATCATTACAGCAAACTTGTGGTAGTATCGTATTATTTAAACGACCCAGTTATCGTTTCGAGATGGTCAAAACCGTTATTTGTACCAGTCAATGAACAGTGCATTATCTTGTTCAGTTCCTTTTCATACAGCAAACATACGGTTTTAATCGTCTCAAAAATGCACTGTATCGTTTATAGTCATTATACATTACGTAGGATGGTATTATTTCAAATACTATATCGCTAAATGGTTTGTTGTGGGTTGAATCTATATATTTTTTGTGGTGTATGACGAAAGTAGTCAAAAGTTTCTCTCACGTTGAGGGTGGTATAACTTATCAAAAATTTCTCCTCTGATTCGAATCCCGTTCTCGTTAAATATTGACGTCTGTATTTCAGTACATGATTCTGCTTTGCGTTTGTGGGAAGAAGGCTTTAACCCTTATTTCGATACCGTTCATGATTCGAGCATTCATACATCTGATTCGAACAGTTCGTTAGAGGGAGATGAGAAACGGTTGTTACCTAAACGCACGTCGACATTTCATGGCACTTCGCCTCATCGAGGTTCTTTTCATTTAATTTAAAGAACACCTCGTATTCACACCCGTAAATTATTCATTGTTCTTATGCTCAGTTGATCCCGTCTTATGTGTCACAAAAATATTGTTTGGATGATCGAGTAATTAGGTTTAGATGATTTCTTTACTCTTGAGTAAGCGTTCATAAAGTACTTTTGATGACTGATTGTTAGTGGTGAGCTGTTTGTCGAATCCTTTCACTCTGTGAATGTTAAAAGAAAATGTTGTTTTGAAGGCGCTTCTGAAACACCGATTAGACGCCGTACAACTGAGCCAGAACTGAGTACTGATCGCAGACGGATTGATAATGGAATCGATGCCACATTCAATGAAGAGAAGTTCAGTAAGATTCCAGTAGGTTTTGAAAATTGTTTGTTTACTTCTTTATTCATTACTTTATAACAGAAAAATAAAATATGTACTAATGAATTATTTTGTAATATGATGAACAATCGTTTATTTTGCAGTTGGGTTTGAGTGAGAGTGCGCAACGTGCTGTTGAGCGACTCCTTCGTGAAAGCATCGAATGTCATGTTGAGAATAGTCAACTTCGCAGTGAAAATGCAATGTTCGTTCGGCTATATTAATTTTGATTTCGGTTATGGTGATCTGTAGTGTTTCGATAACTTTCACATTTCGTTTGAACAAGGATCTACATTTTGCGGCATTAACATGGTGAGGCGGCAGTGTGGAATGAAATTCATCGCATTTGCAGGCTGCAAATTCAGCTGGCTGCACTCAAAACACGTCGTTTAGAAACAGCACCAACGGCTGTTCTTGAAGCGATGCGTAAGAAACTTCAAGATTTGCAGAAAGCCGAAGAAGCGTTTCAGAAACGTGTGCGGCATTTGGACGATAGAGAGGTAGTGATCGTTTGTTTGTGCAGTGGTATTTTGATGTGAGCAATTGAACAAGAAGAGTTGATTTGTGTAGAGTGCAAGTGAAGTATGATCGCGCAATTTCAGAAGGCTGTAGAAGAGCGAGAGAAACAAGTGGAAGAGCAGTTCAATACATTGTGTGGGATAATGAATCCAGATCCACCAGTGACACTACATCGCCCGCAGGGTGCAACAAGACCAGCAAGTATGAGCGGTGTTACTTTTCGTTCGGGGTCTGCGATTAATGAGCGATCACCGTTAGTATTATTACTGTTATTCAGCGCACCCACTCACTGGCTTTTGGCTGAAATTAATTCGAAAACGACTGTAACCTCTCATTAACATAATGACCATGTTCGTTTGGTTGTTAGCATTCAGGTAAATCATTCTATAACCAAATGGTAAATCGTTCATTTGGTTATAGAAAACTTGAAATTAGTTTGCAAACATTATACTACAAAGTTTTTGAAAAACCATTCTTTTCTATTATTGTCTTTATCGTAAGCAGTATAATAACATGCTCGGGTGTTTTTTTAGCAGATAACTTTTTAAACTCTAAATGCTTTCATACATAATGGATTGCTTTCAATTATTCGGGTAGAAAATGATCAGTTGAGCATGACTACTTTATTGATGTGAACTTTCGTTATTGTTTAGGGTAACAGTCGCTCAAGCCGGACCACTGGGAAAGTCTTCGAGCAGTTCATCTATGCCACTGCATCTGGTTGAAAAGACTTCCAAAATACTTCGCAGTAAGAAAAATTGAAATTAAGCACTCAAGCGTTAATATTCAATTATGGCTACATTGTTCAATTAATTCTACTTTATCATTCTCGAAGACTACTTCACTTTGAACTTTAATTCTGTAATATCGCATATCACTATCCCTAGAAGAATATTTTAAAACGCGCAATGGTGATATGTTGATTTTGTGATGATACTATGTTAGCAATATCATTTGATGAAGTGTCGGAGTAGTTGTGTAATTATGACTTGTGTACAAGCTTTTGTTGTGTCGTTAGATTTTTGTTTCTGTTGTTATCTTCATTATAAGCAATGTGGTAATTTAATACTGTTAACCGATCATTCCTCGTAATCTTTAATGTTCATCCAATATGTCTCATTATTACAGTTACTGAGTGCCTTCTGTGACCAAAATTCAATTAGCTTTCAGTGGAACGATTCTGAATTTTACGCAACAGTTAGGGCGTTCTATTGGATTGTTTGAATCGACCGAACGATTCCTTGACTCGGGTGGGAGGGGGGGGGGGGGGGGG